GCCTTGCAGGTGTTACTTGACCACATGAGAAGGGCTCCTTAACCCCACTACAACACTTGGACCCCTCAGGCCTCTAACCTTTTCTTGGGTCTTCAGCTTTCCTGGATTAAGATTCTTATTTCTGGCTGTGGCTCCTCAGCTTAGGTCCACTGCCCCAGGCCTTGGCTTCTGGGTCCCTAGCCCTGTTCTCACCCTTCTCAGGCTTTATGCCACTGGCCTTGGTCTTGCCCTACTTGGGCTCTGGGCCCCTGGCCCTGGCCCTAGCCTCATGTTGCCTTGGCCCCCAGGCAAGGCTGCTCATGGTCTCTCCCGACACCCTGGTCTAAGCAAGGCTGGTTACAGTTCAGGCCTTGGGTCCCTGACCCTCATAGGGCTCTATGGTAGGTGCCTCTGAGGCACCTCTGTGGCCACGTTACCACCCCTGTCAGCCACATCCAGTCCTCTAGTAAATCTGTGCTAGATGCAATGCCCTCTTAAACCTCCTCTGGGGTCTCCCATGGTCCCATCCACTTGGCCTATAGCTACTGGCTGTTGCAGCTTCCCTGGGTCCCAGTGCTGTTTGGGTTCCCTTTTGTTTTCACCCTGGCCATCAGGAGCTCTGCTCTCAGAAGAAGTCTGAGCTGTCTGGTTGAGGGGGCAGGCTTTTAGTATTTTGGGCTCCACCCCCTTTGCATCATGTGGCCTTCTCCTTGCATGCCCTCATGTGTTACAGTTTAACCAACTGAGATGCAGCCGCTGCTCCCCAACCGTTCCGCCTTTTACTTTTAGGGGTTCTCCCTAGCTGCTGGTCTTTCTGTTGCTGGTTCCTACCCAGCTGCCTACTTGGTTGCAGCCCTCCAATGCCAGTTTCTTATCTTTCATGTAGCAGGGGGTAGGGACCCCTGTTGGGGAGATCCAGCCACTCATGGTGTCTCTCATTTCCTATACCAGGCTGTTTGTCTTCTATGCTAGTGACTCTGGCTCTCACATGACCCATCTTGTTAGTGCTCAGCTGGCTCCCACATGACCCGTCTTGTCTCTGGTGAGATCAGATTCTGTACTTTAAGGTCCCAGCTCTTACTGATTCTGTTCCTGTGGACTCCTTGCTCATCTCAGCTCCTCCCCTAATTCAAAATTCTCCCTCTGAGGTCCATTTGGTTCATGGCCTCCAGTACTTTCTGGGCTGAGTTCTCATCTTTACACTTAATCACACCACAGATGCTAGGACTCCCGCCAACATCCTTGTACAGTTCCACAAATGTAACACTTAACAGTTTTCCTTTTTAACAGGCTCTTAGTAGTCCACTGCTTTGTGTCACTGGGGAGGTTACTTATAAATACCCTTCTTCTACTCAGGATTTTTTCAATCTCAGCCCCCAATCTCTTACCTCCAGTGTTGGGGTAGGTTTCTTTTTCCCACCTCCTACCAGACTAGATCTTGACCTACTTACCACCTTTCTGCTCTGCTGATTCTCTGGCTCTTGCAGTTACTAAGGCTGGTTCCCGGTAGCAGCTATCCTCTTGTCCACCTCTCTCAAAGGCACTGCTTTCATAGTTTCTAATCTCTGCTCACTTTGGGAAATAGTGGATTTTCTTTCCTTGTTGGAGCTCCCTGGTTTTTGTTCAAGTCCCTCTTTGCTCGCAGAGACTAACCATTCTCCTGAGAGCTCAGTGAAACTTCCCCCTTGTTTCACCCCAGGTCAAGTTTCCTCAAAACTAAGTCTCTTATTTCTCCCCTGGAAGTCCTACACCCCTTGTCACTTCAAAAGGGGGTTTGCTTCCAATGGGAGGAGTTCGTATTTCAGTTCATGGACATTGCCTTGCTCCGTGCCTGCAACCCCCACATTTAAGACCACCTATAACCCCTCTGGGGGGCCTACCTTTTGCCTTTGGGGGTGGGCCACCCATCTCATAATCATTGCATTCTCCCACATTTGAGCTCTTCACTCTTGCCTCAGGTACGCGCTTCTTTCTGCCGCTAAGGATTAGACCCTCTGTCTCTGCAATTCCCCTTCCAGCATCCTTCTCACCACCACTGCAGCCTGTTGGAACTTTGTTTATAGCTTCTCTGTCTCACTGCCTATCCTATAGCGACTGAGATCAAGGCTATCCCTCTTGCTGCCTGTCTTGGAAGTTACTCTCCCAAGAAAAACTGAATGTTTGTATGAGGATTTGGGAGGAGTGCAAGCGCTGCATAAAGCAACCTTTGTACATCCCTTTCCATCTGTCTTGCATTTTGGGCTAAGGATCTGGGTTCCATGTATAATACAGGTGCCTGGAGACCCCAACAAGTTTATTTTACAGTTTGGGAAAACTAAACCAAGTGAAAGGAAAGGAATGGAAGGAAAAAAGGATCATAGACGAGAGTACAATATTTTTGACTGAAAACTTTTATTATAAAACACCACCAGTGTTTACAACCAGTGTTAAAACACCACCAGTTATTGTAAAACTCCAGCTATTAAATGCCACATCTCCTGGCAGGGAGAAAAGAGAGAGGGGACTGAGGATATAACAACGTATGGAACTGAAGTAAATTTGTATCAGCTGCTCTCATTTGCCTTGCTGCAATTGAATTGATCATCCAAGAAGTGATAGAAAGATTAAAAAACAACAACCTACTTTTATATTGGCTTGGATGAAAAACACTGTCAGATCTTCAGAAATGTACAGACCAATAGCTGTTTAAACCATGAACTGTTTAAATCAACTGCTTAAATCAACTGTTTATCTTGACCAGTGGTTCTCAACTGTTTTGGATTCAAGGCATCCCTCATTAGACTTCAGACACCATGAAAAATGCCAACTTTTAGTTTTCACTCCTCCTTTGATTCTGGAAAAATAATAGAGCAATTTTTTTGTTGCAAAGAACTCAGAGCACAACTGGTCAGAATATTTTTGACGCTGTGGATTCCTATTTGTAATCTTTGGGCTTATCATGATTTATGTGAGTCATGTTTGCACTTCTAACAGTGCCATCCTTGCATGGGCCCCCGCCACACCCTTGAAAGGATCTCCAAGCACCCCCAGGTGCTACGGCACCCTAATTAAGAATCACTGAGCTTGATTGACCTCAGTCCGTTCTTGGTGGTAAATGACTGCTTCACTTTGTTAATCTGAGCACAGTAACTGCTCAGGTGCATTGATAGTTGGCTTTTTCTGCCTGACATGAAACTTTTAAACCAATTAGTTTGACTTTTCTACCTTTGCTACAGATGAGTAAAAACATCAGTGACATCAAAGACTCCCAAGAAAATCTTTACTGCTTTTTGGATCAGTGCCTAGCAGTGCTAATGAAAATTATCTGTAGCACAGCCCTCAGATGGCTCAGTGAAGCTATGGTTTCTGTCTTCAAAGATAAAAGTGATTTACTCTTCATCTTTGTAAATGACTGTAGTGCCACTCCCCTAGGACAGGTTGCCTATAGTACAGTCATCACTAATGACTTTTCCTTTGTTTTAGGGTGTTCAATGTTTTTATTAAAGTGCATATAATAGTAGGCTTGGGGTCTTTTTTAACTAAAAGATAACAGTTATACATGCTAAAGCTATACTATCTTGAGTTGTGAAACTATCAGATTTCCATTTTGGGTGATAGTTTTGCCTATTTCTGCCTCCAGTCTTATTTGGATACTACTGTATTTCCTGCCTGAAACTATCACTCATGGTTGCTATGCAGTGTTCAGCAGCTGCCATATTCCTTGAGTTGGCTACCTTAAAGTGAAGGAGGGCAAGACATTGAAAGTATCATCTAAGAGTCATGCTCCACCCAGTGCTGTAGAAAAGGTCTAGCTTCCCTAGGATTTCTATTTTGAAAGTATTTGAACAGTCTTCATGGTGAAGTGTAATGCATATAGCACTGGGGGGAATATGTGCATTGTTCTCGTCTCCTGTGATGTAGTTTAGAGGTCAGCTTTGCAATAAAAAAATCCCAGCCTTTATATTTTGTGCATGTTCTTTCCAGAGCTGTGTGGGAGACTTCCCCATTATTGATTTAAATTCTGCATTTCCCCTCATCATCCTATTGTGCCTGAGCTATAGTGTATTTAGAGTCTTACTACTACAGCAGAATATATACTAGGATTTCTCTGAGTCATGCTGACTCATACACAGATTGACAATCAACTGTAGCCAACATTCAAGTCACAAAAGATCTACTGCTCAAAAATACTTTGTAATTGTACTTTTTTGCCTGAATCTGCCATTCTTTTTGGAACTTTGTGCCTTCGCATTCCTTCATCCACAAGTGTCTGTTTTAACTTTTACAAAACTACCAGTTATTTTCCTGGCAGTATTTTTAAGACCATTTTGGGCATGTGCCTATATTGGTTTTGGCATATAAGAATTCATTCTAGTCTGTCTGTGGTTATTAAGGTAAACTAATAAATTTTTCATGTGTGCACGTGTGTGGTGCATGTACACACCCATGAGATGTCCTAATTAGAGCATTTCCCACAGAATTATGACCTGAGATTTGAATATCTGAGAGGCTGAACCATTCATGGTTAATAACCTAAACTCTCAGGGGAATTGTGGGTGCTCATAACTTTCCAAGAGTCTCTCAGTTTCCTACAGACTTGAGCAATAAATAAAGAGGCTTTAGAGTCCAAAACCTATGGGACACAATGTAAGTTCCTTACATTATGCTGTATTGTCCTTGAAATCAATAGGATTTAGAACTTAACATGTGCTATTAGCTGTATAGGAAAAATGTGTCTGTTAAAATCACCAAGGAAATGCTTCATTTAATGCTGAAATTGTTTATTACATTGAAAGGCTTGTAAATTGCTACAAGCGATCCTGAATTTCTTACACAGAGGGGAAAAAAAATTCTCTCAATGGCTTCATAGGGAGTTTTACCAGAGAATAAACAGACTTCAAGATATCTTCTGTTGTTATTTGGCCTTGAGTCTTGAATGCTTATCTGCCATAATTATTTGGTATTTTCAATTGCTGTTTTTTTGGTGTTTTTGTCAAATTAAATTTTATTGTAATTTTATCTGACTCTTTGTTTCTCTTTAGGATCATTTCTTTTTACCGAGAATTTGTCGTCGACTTCATGCTGTCCTGGCAGCTGTTTCAACTTCAATGTTGATTTTATCCAATCTAGTGTTCCTTGGCGGAAATGACGTTGGGAAGATCTACTGGGACTGGATCTGTGTGAAAGGCAAGTTATTTTTCAAACGTTTCTTTGAGACTGCTGGACCAGACCCTCATCTCAATACCAAGGTGTACATTTGCATCTTTTTTTTTCCTTTTATTGATTTTATTCTTAAATTCAAGTATTAGAAAAGCATAAATATCTACTCTATATGTAAAAAAAACAAGCTATAACATAAGTAATATGAGGACAAAGAAAAAAAGGAGAGAAGAAGGAGGAATAGAAAAAAAAGAGAAAAGTATGCAATGAGCTATCAAAATTCTCACAATAATTCCTTCCAAATTGCACTAAACTTTTCAAAGCAGTCAAGCTGGCTAAACACGACTCTCTATACATACCAGCTGTGCCATCTCACTGTATTAGATTTCAGCCTTTGGAGATGTCCTGCCTTTCCAATACAGCAATATAATCCCTTGTGTTACAAGTATGGCCTCCTGTAAGAAATGTTATTTAGGAAGGATTCAGTCCAGACTCCTAAGAACACACATTTGCCAGAGCTATGTTCAAAACCATGTTATCTCTAGTTATATTTTATTTCCAAAAAGAAGTTATGAGCATGACCAAACCAAGTGACCAAGCATTTCCTACAATGCATTGCATCTCCAACACGTATCTACTGGTAGTATATTTAGTTTTTTACGTTTAGAGAGAGCCCAGTGCAGATCAAAAATTATTTGTTTTATAAGATGAAGTCTAACATCAGTTGTCAATGTTTGAATATTGTGAATATATAAATATATAAGCATATATATAAATATATATTGAATATTATTTTATAGACAGTTTAATGAAGATTAAAATCTGGCTAACTGATTCTAAATATCAACTACTAGAAAATCAAGGATAGATGTTATTGCTACTGATTGACAGTTCTTTTCTACCATCAAATTTAAAGGAGCTAATTAATTTTGAGGGTTACCAGGCTTACTGATAAGCTTGAGTTTGCGTTAAAGAACAGTTAATATACAGGTGATCAATTGGCGAGGCTGAAGTATCCCTTTGGCCCCCTCTATACATTACAGGTGTTGCACAATTAACTAGTTAAGTGTGAAATTACTTTAAGACCAGCTACACATGCAAAGTAGCTACCACATGATAAAAAGCTCCAACCAGCTATAAAGTTAGATCTTGAAAATGTGTACTAACTTTATAGCTGATGGCTATCAAGCTTTAATTTGCATTTGTAGCAGGCTCTCCCTTGTGGCTGGGAGCCGCTTCAGGTAACAGGGCTCCCAGCCACAGGGGTGCATCATGACCAGGGTGAAACCGTCAAGCCCTGGGGATCATGGCTGCTGTTCTATGATCATAGAATCATAGAAAATTAGTGTTGGAAGGGACCTCAGGAAGCCATCTAGTCCAACTCCCTGCTCAAAGCTGGACCATCCCCAACTATATCATCCCAGACAAGACTTTGCCTACCAGGTCTTACTAACCTCTCTGCTAACCTGTTCCAGTGCTTTACTACCCTCCTAATGAGAATTTTTTCCTAATACCTAACTGTGGTGGAGCACCTTTGGGGTGCTTGCCATGTTAGGGCTGTCACAGACTCTGAGGGGAGCCTGCTAAGATCTTAAGTAGCACCACGACCTGCTGCTCCAGGGGGGAAGTGAGAGTCCCCTGTGAGACCCTGGAGCACCAGTTGTGGTGTGAGGTACCCTAGCTCCCACAACTAGGTGGGTTAACCTCTAGTAGGGGCCAGAAGGTGAACCCAAGAGAGTGAAGGGGCTAGTGGCAGAGGCCTGAGGCAGAATACCCTCAACCAGTCAATGCTGGGGCCAGGACCAGGAAGGTCAAAAGGGCCAGGGGCCCACTGCGAGGGATGCCCAGAGCAGAGGGCTGGGGTCCCAACTGGCCTTGGAGGTAAGGCCAGGGCCTGTGTGGCCAAAGGTCCCGGGGGGACCACACCCAAGAGAGGAGATAGCTATAGGGAGCTCGGCAGCCCGAATGATGGCGGAGTGGGCTGCCTGAGTGGAGGGATCAAAGTGGGGTCCTGATAGGAGGATTCTGGAGCCCAGTGTGGGGCTGGTGTGTCTAACAGCTGG